TTTTTTTTTGAACAGCTAAGAAAAATTTCATTGAAAAGGTACCAGTGGTACCAAAAAGATAAACAGAAAAGTGTACATATAGAACCAAACATCAGTTCCGTGAATAGAAAAAAATAGAAAAGAAGTAACCCCTTCACAACCCTTTACTACTGCTCTATTATAAACCCCACTCCCATCGTAGCTGTCTTCCACCTACACTAACACATCAAGCCCCTAATCTACATAAGCATAGACCAGGATTGCTGCACCATTGTGAAAAAGTATACCGGAAAGTCTTTGTGAAGGATGACAACCACCTCCAACTGTGAACCAGAATCTCTTTCACCAGACTATCAAAACAGAAGCTGTTATCATTGAACCTGCATAGGTTCCTTGTCCTCCACACTGTCCAAGTAGTGACCAGCCACACGGTACGCCAATATTCAACTTGTACATTTTGGTAATAATCCCTATAATATTATTAGAGCAAATTCAATTGACAGAAATACTGTTATTGTATAAGAACGAGTTCTTAAAAATTAAATAACATTTTTCTAGAGTCAACCATGCATGCGTAAAAATTAGAAAGAATACCGAACTAATAAAAGGAAAAAGGAAATATTTTTAATATTTTTTCTGGCATCAATCAATTTGCAATATTTTTCTTTTTGGGTATTTATTTTTCAAAATTAAAATATGCCTACGTTTTGGTCTAAATTCCTATACATTTATGCAATGAGCACCTTTGGTACTCCATTTCAATGGATTTAAGTTTTAATTTCTAAAAAATTGACATGGTGTGGGAGAAGGAGGCTAGGTCTAGCCTATAGGGTCTATAAGAATATTAGGGATTTTTAATTTTTTTGAAAAGCAAAATGATAATATTATATTATTATATAAAAAATAAGTAAAGATAGCTAGAGCAAGAGATGTTCCAAAGTTCAGCCTAGCTTTACAGAGGATGATTAGACATTCCTACACAAATCTTGTACAATGCCACAATATATAATAGCCAACCAATATAGACTAAGGGACCCCACCTAATTTGAAACTCATGACTTTTATTTTTTACTTTTATTTTTTAAATGGAACGACCTTGTCTTCAACCCTATATAACTCAAAGAGTCAAGTTAAAATAATTTAACTAGAAATTTTGATAAATTCATTTTTAAACCAACTCACTATTTTTGTAGTTTGAACGTGTTGTATAATTGGCAGAGAGCATTCTAAAGTAATAAAACGGAAAAATATAATTCTTGATAAATTAAAATAAATGTATGTTTACTTGCATTAAAACACACGGTTGGCTCAAACATTAGAACTCATACATATTAGTATTCTACATCTGAGTTTTCCCATATACTTGTATATATATCTTTTTTACCATTTAATCTCTTAATATTCATTATTACGTAACTTCTTTAGCCTTGGTTAGGACTGTTAAGTTCATTGATTAAGCCCATGTAGGCTTACATTTTGCTACATTTCATTTAATTCGCAAGTTAATTACATGTTATAAGAAAATTGTTATATGCACACATCCTATAATAATATAATATATTATTAAAAATTATTTTTATTTATACTATAAATATAATATATGTTAATATATTGTTTAAAAAAATGTAATTATATGTTATAATAATATATAATATATGTTATCAAATTTTATTTAAAATTAATACTAAAATAAATATATATTTACATATATTATATTTATAATGATATTTTTTATGTCATATAACATTTTTTTTATAATCACATCATATTTAAAATTATATATACTCATTCTTTTGGCATCATGAGAAAAGTTAAACAAGCATATTACTTTTTTTTTTTTTAGAGAAAAAACATATTAATCTGCATTTCTATAAAGGGAAATAATCGTAAATATTAAAAAGATAGAAATTAATGTCATATGTATGTAATCTAAAAAAAAAACTATTGAAATATCACTGACGTTTGCTCTAATAATGTTTAATATAAAAAGAACTTTAATATAATATGAGAAATATATTAGCAACAATTATTTTTAATATATTATTATTGATTGAAATTTATTGAATATATCTATATATATATATATATATAT